GAGGGAACCTTAATGTGTTATATTATTTCCCTGAAAAGCCATCATAACCCCATTTAACAGACAGTTCAAAACAAGTGTGATAGAAGAATATTAAATCATATATTACTTTAAAGCTTCTGAATATATTTAGAATAGTTCATAACCAAGTTGTTATTATTTTGGATTTTTCTTTTCCTTTCTCTTTTTTTTTTTTTTTTTTTTTTTTTCTTTTTTCTCTTTTCTTTTTGGTTTTTGGGACAGGGCTTCTCCATGTAACAACCCTGGCTGTCCTGGAATTAACTCTGTAGACCAGGCTGTCATGGAAATCACAGAGATCCATCTGCCTCTGCCTCCTAAGTGCTGGGATTAAAGGCATGTGCCACCACTGCCCATCCATAAATTAATACTAAAAAATTAATGCTGGTTACTTCCTTGACTAGCTACCATTCACCAAAAATTTAACTATGTATGAAATATACATACATTGTTCTTTGGTGGCATACATGTGACAATGCTTATGGTGGTCAGAGGACAAGGTGAAAGACATCTTTCTGTCCACCACTCAGGTAGTCAGGTTCAGCATGTGCCCAGACAAGTTTCTAACCACTTTTGGAGACAGATTCTCACACCAGCCAGGCCTTGAACTTCCCTATGTAGCTGGGGATGACCCTGAACTTCTGACCCTCCTGTCCATCTACTGAGAGAAGTATTGGGATGACAAGTGTGTATAATCCGTCTGTTTTTAAGTTCTGTTAAGGATCAAACATATTATTTAGTTCATGCCAGGCAAGCACTCTACTGGCTTCCCCCTGTTGATTTCAGAGGTAGGGTCCTGTACTATTATATAGCCAAGAAGACCATGAATTCAAGATAATGCTCTCATTTCAGCCTCCCAAGTCTTGAGATCCTCAGGAGTGAGCTACTGTGCCTAGCTCCAAACTATGACTTCTTCAAAACCAGTGTATTTGTAGTTACAAATATCTTGAGTTTTACTGGAAAATTAAAGAGCCATAGAAAACAAAGTTGACAGACAATACTGAAATTCAGGCTATATGTGTCACCTTTGTCAAAGGCAAAACATTATTTTATAAATTTTGTTAATCATGATTTTTGATCTATACTAATATAAAAATAAAATTTTTACTCTTGTTTTAAATTTCAGTTATATTTACCTATCACTCACTTCTTTGATTTGGGGATTTTGAGTTTTTCTTTGTTTGTTTCTTGGTCTTGAAGCAGGGTTTCACTCTGTAGTTCAGGCTGGCCACTAACTAAATATGTAATCCAGGTTGACCTGGAACAACAATCCTCCTGCCTCAACTTCCTAATGTTGTGATTACAAGTGTGAGCCACAACATCCAGTTTCATAAATCAGTCCACAAATGAATGACATTTTTTTCTTTTATAAAGCATTTATTAGTTGGGGGAAAGGGTTGCATATGTCCCACAGTTCAAATGTGGAAGTCAGGGAAGAATTTGCAGCGATCAATTCTTTCCTTCCACTGTGGGGGCTCAGAGGGTTGGACAGGTTTAGTGATGTGCACTACTATCTACTGAACGCCTGTCTTTCACAATGGGTGTCATTTAGCTTCTCTTTTTCTCTCCAGGGCCTTGGGCATGCTAAACAAATGCCTTATTACTAGTGTACACCCACAGCCCCCAAAACAGAATTTGTCCTCTACTAGTAAGGGTTTTGAAACAGACAGGGTGTTGATTTTCCCCCAAAGACATAAGGCCAGAAGGGACGGGAGGAGAAGAGGGAGGGGAAACTTTGGTAGGGATGTAAAATAAATGTATAAATTTAATTGACAAAATACATATTTATAAACATAAAATCCAGTTTTGAAATAGTAAGGCTAATGTAAATGGGATTTGTTATCAACAGAACTATTCATATTTCCAATTTAGGGTAAAATACAAATTATAAAGTAGGGTATCATGGATCATCCCTGTAGATCTTAGCACTTGGGAAGTCTGTGGCAAGAGGATTGCTACCAGTTGAAAAAAAATGTGGGCTATTGGGACCAGACTAGACTACAGAGTGAGAAACAATCTAAAAAAAAAAAGAAAAGAAAAAAGCATGATGATGAGTCACGCCTTTAATCCCCAAAATAAGGAAATGATACAAGAGTTTCAGCAAGATGGAAACCAACTTGCCCTACCTAGTTAGTTAGATGCCAGCCAGGGCTACATACCAAGATCCTATCTTAAAAGGAGAGGCCGAAGCTGAGAAATGGCTCAGCTGTTTAGAGAACTTGCTACTCATCTAGAGGATCCAGTTGACTCCAATCACCCACATGCTAGCTTATAACTTATCTGTGACCCCAGTCGCAGGAGATCTGATGCCCTTTTCTGACCTCTGTGGGCACTTTCATGCATGTAGTGCACAATATACAGGCAAAATGCTCATACACTTTAAAAATAAATCATTTTTTATTATTATTAAAAAGAAAAACAAACCAACAACAGAAAAGCTGGTCATAGTAGCTGGTGGCCTAGCTTTTCAGAGATGCAGGAAAACTAGGATCAAGATTATCCTTGGCTTATGGTCAGGGCCAGACCAGTATATAAGACACTCAATCAAACACACAAAACAACAACAACAACAATAATAAAAATTCTAAGGAGAAATGGGAATTCTCTTTAGGATAAATCACAAAGCTAAATGGATTGTTCTGTTAATCTAAATCCAACATGGTTAACTGCTTAAAAGAGAAACAAATAATAGAGGTAAGCTTACATGAAACAAAACTTTTTAAAAAGTTACATATTAGATATCCTGATTAAACTACTAATTTTCCTTCCATGAGTAGGCCTATTTCTCTTTCATGAGAAGGGATATACGTTATAATATCCTAAAATATCTTATGAAAACCTGAATTGAGACGCCTACTACCCACATAAGAGCCAGGTGTGCCTGTGGCATCTGTGATCCCCCGTATGTGTGTGAGAGGACACAAAGATGATGACACACAAGGACAGGCCGATCCCTGGAGCTCTCTGGCCAGCGAGTTTAGGTGGCCAACAAACTCTGGGTTCAATGTCAGACTGGGTCTCAAAAAGTAAGGTGAAGAAAAATAGAAGCCACCCAAAGTTGACCCCAGGCCTCTGCACACATACACACATACACACACGCACACACACACAAATGTTAAAAATAGCCTGTGTGTCAGGGCAGCCTTTAATCCCAAAAGACACAGGCAGGCAAATTTCTGTTGAGTCCAAGGCCAATTTAGTCTACATAATAAATTCTAGGCTAGCCAGGGCTGCATGATAAGACTATGCCTCAAAATAAATAAATAAAAATGCATATTTCGGAAATTGGAGGCCAAATAAACTTACATTTTATTTTATTTATCCCAGCCATGTACACAGTCGTACAGATATATTTAGAGAGCAAAAATCGATTTAAACATAAGAGCTGATTGTAAAATTTAAATGAGAATTTTGAAAACACATCGGATCTCGGTGTGGTGGACCATGACTATAATTCGAAAATGGGGCCTAGACAGGAGGATCTAAAAGGTGAGTCTTACTTGTATTGCATATTAGAAAAAAAAAAAAAAAAAAGATGGGTTTGATGGTTATTGTTTTTAAAGATAGGGTCTCTCCCTGTGATCCAAGCTGGTTTTGAACTTGTGAAGAACCTCCCAGATCTGCCAGACATTCACTTGTAGGTTTCTGTTCTTTTGAGACTTGATCTCAATAGTAGTGGAGGGTGACCTTGATCTCCTGCTCCTCCTGCCTCTACCTCTCCAGGACTGGGATTATAGGACTGCTGGGGGTTTGTTTGTTTGTTTGGTAAAGACTATAGTCCCAGCTGCTCTGGAATTCATTATACAGATCAGGCAGCTTCAAATTCCAAGTAATCCTCCTGCCTCGGTTTCCCAAGTCTGGCACCTACAGGCCTGATATTTGTAGCAAGATGTAAGCATAGGTAATGGAAAATTACCAAACATCCCACCAATCACAGCACTAAATAACGCCACAGGTCGCCCAAATTACGCATTTGTTTAAGTCAACAACAGCTCCTTCCTCCCTCAAAGCCATGCCTCCGGCGTCAGAGAAGACTCGGGGATGATTTGTGACTTCTCCCTTTTTGATCCCTCACCCGGATCCACCTGCTTAGACGCGTCAAGGAAACTAGAAATGGTTAACGGTGACCAGCTGCAGAAAAGAGACAAACATCCCTGACAACCCACAGCTGAGCAAGCAAGAGCTGTTTATTCACCAACGCGCGCACACACATACACACACACACACACACACACTCACACACAGGCACCAATGAGAACACACAGGCACGCACGCACACCGGTGAGAACGGTCGCGTTCCCCACCCGCCCAGGAGCAGCCCCGCACTAAGTCGCCCGGTCCCTCCCCGAAGATGGGCTCTGACGCGGCCGAGGCTGCCCCGGGCGCCCGACCTCCCGCCGCCGCGGCCGGGCGTGCTCGACCCGACCCAGAAACTGGCCCTCCAAGCCACCTCCCCTCACCTGGCTCCGTCCCACCTGAGCGCGAGAGCTGAGGGGGCAAGACGCGGAGAAGGGGCGCTGACCTTGTTGCTACTGACAGCGGAGCGCCACATGCTGCTGCTTCCCGGACAGCGGCCCGAAGGACATTTTTTCCCCCTGGAGGAAGGAAACGGGAGGGCGCCGGCCCGGCGGCGGCGGGCGCGGCGGCGGGGGTCCCAGCGGGCTGTGCAGCCTCTAGCGGGGACGGTCCGAGGACTACATCTCCCAGGCTGCTCCGAGCCGCCCCTGCGTCGTGACCCCGGCGCGCACGGAGGCGGTGACTCTTACCTCACAGAGGTAGCTCCTCCGCCGGCAGCAGCTCGGCGCCCCGTCGGTCCATGGACCGGAACCCCGGGCGGACCGGCAGGAACCCGGGCCGCGACCGCCGCCTCCCGGCCCCAGGCTCCTCCCCCTCGCTCCCCGCCGCCCTCTGCGGACGCCCGCCGGCCGCGCACCGCTGCGGCGGGCCTTACGGAGCCGCGCCGGGAGGCCGTGTGGCGGGGCCGCGGACGCAGCGGGACTGAGGCCTACTCCGCCGCCTCTCAGTGCTATTGTCCCCGGGCCTGGCCCTGAGCGGGGCTGCGGGCGAGGGCCGAGCTCGCCGGCTCCGCGGAAGATGCCGGACCAAGCCCTTCAACAGATGCTGGACAGGTAGGAGCAGGGTGGGCCGGGAACCGCCGGCCTCCGTCCTGGGCCTGCCCATGCTGGCCTCGAGGCCCCGAGAGCGTGGATCCTGGCATCCGCCGAGAGTTCCACTGCCCGGGGGCCGGGAGAGAGGCTCCGAGTTTGGAGACGGCGCTAAAGGGAAGATTGGGCGAACGGTCTGGGTCCTAGACTTAGAAACTTAAAGGAGTGAGGTCTTCTTCGCCCCGAAAGCCTGTTTCTAAGGTGAAGAGGCACGATTGTTGACCCATAGAATCAGCTTCTCTTTCCCACCTCCTCCCCCGAGAGTGTAGTAAAGGGTTTGGCAGCTGTGCCATGGGAAGAACCAGATTATCTCCCTGGGGAATGACCCCCTGCACTTTTAAGCCTCTCTCCACAATGCAAGGATAGGCATTCTTTTTTTTAAAGCCTGGGTTTCGTTTCTCCTTCCAACCCCGTCCCATCCCCACCCCCAAGCCGTAAGGTCAGAATATCCACAAGGGAACCTTAACGGTCACACTGGAGTAGAGGTTATGGAAAACAGCCACATGCATGCAACATTGAACGCGTAGCACGCTTGGGGAGCGTTGAGTTCCTAGAAACGTATTGGCTCTTCCTGGGACCAGTTGCCCGTTCCTGGGGGTCTCCAGCCAGTAAAACTCTTTGAGAAGTCAACTGCACCGCCCTCTGCTGTTTAAATTCCAACCAGTGAGTTTTTGGGAGACCAAAACCCCTTTTCCTCCTAGGCACCAGCTTCTTTCTCTGACCAATTGTTGAAACTAATTCATGTTTGCGGTTGCTTGCAACCCCAGGTAGACTAACTGGCCTCCCTGTTCAGCAGCCACTCACTAACTGTTTGGGTCGGGGGGGGGGGGGGCACACAGAGCTCCACCCGAGATGGCAAAAAGTTACTCCTCATGTTTTTTCCTAAATCCTAGGACAAGACATGGTACTTAGCAAGTGCTGTGTTGTTAGAATTAATGAACTTGTTGTGTTTCTCCAGTTGTTTAGGAGCCTGATCCCTTATCAGGTTTCCCTTACACCGGAGTTTATCATACTTGACTAGGTGTGGCACATTAAAATGTGCCCAGAGAGATTACTGCCTGCCACATCGACTCCAGAAGGTATTGGCATAGTTGTCTGCTCTGATGGCATTCACCTTCACGTGGTGACTTTTAGAAAAAATCCTTACGTCTAGATGTTGTCCTGGCTTTTCATATATTTTTTAGGGATTTCTCATATAAGCCAGTGAGTGCTAGTGAAGAATTTACAGAAACTTGGGAATCCCGGGTGTCCTTTGCAGAAATGTATATAGGAAATGTATTTTGCTCCCCACCTCCATCCTAGTTCATCCCCCTCAGCTACTGGCCCTCCCTGGTCACCGTCCTGTTCTCATGTGCTGTGTGTGTTCCACAGTATTTAATTAGGATTGATTGCATAAGCATGGGCCTGGGTTATTTACAGGAGTGTGGGCAATATCAGTGACTACACCACTAAATTTACTCCCTGCTCCTCCAGCAGCCAAAGTCCAAAGTTACTGGGTGGGACAAGGGGCTTCATGACTCAATCCCTCGTCCCTCCGGGATGCACTGTTGCTAGGCCCCCATCTTGTGCAGGTCTTACACAGGTAAGCACAGCTACCTGTGGTTCGTGAGTTTACTCACAGCACTCCTCCTCATCCCAGTTCTTACATTCTTTCTGCCCTCTTTGAAATTTTTTTTTTTTAGAAAGCTTGAAATTTTTCATTATAAAATTCACAAACCTAAGGTTATATTTAATTTATGAGGAATATGACTATACAACTATTCCTGCTTTCACCATACTCAGTTTTTTACTGTGCTGGAACTTGAAGCCACAGCTTCATGCATGCTAGGTAAGCTTTTTAAGGCTGAACTACATCCACCGATAGTTATTCAGATATATGTAGTTATACTTAGCACTTATGTGTTCTGCCCTCAAAATAACTCACATATGTGGTGATATATTATTTATGATTTATTAAAGCTTGCCTGAGGATTCAGAAAGCAAAGCAGCCATGCACTAGCTCTCACCTCTGGCTCAGGCTGAAAAGGCTGATCGGGAGCTCTTTACCAAGCCTCAGACTGCTGCCTCTCCTCAGTTTGGCTGGAGAAGGAATGCCTGATACTGACTACTGAAGACCTTGCTTTTATCTTCTATAGCCCCCTAGAGCTGGGATTAAAGGCATGTGATCTTTTACTCTTAGACTGGTTTGATCTTGTGTATTCCTGGGTGGCCTTGAATTTAGAGAGATCCAGCTACCTCTTAACCCTGAGTCTTAGGATTAAAGGTGTGTGCCACCACCTCCTGGCTTCTATGACTTGTGGCTGACTTTGCTTTCTGGTTCCTCAGGCAAGCTTTAATAAATCATAAATAATATAACTGTACAGATAGGAAGATCTTGATATTATTCCCACTTTTTTGGTCAAAATATATATCCAACTTGAAACGAGACAAGTATACTTAGAAAATTACCTGTTGAATTAAATGTGTTTATACTAACAACATCTCAGCTACCCTATTTGCTCATATACTTAGCAATTGTAGTTTATGCAGAAATGTTAGTCATCCTGTGAATATCCACAATAATGTAAATATACTTTAATTGAATTGTTCCCATAAAACGATTAAAGTGGTAAGTTTCATGATATGGATATTTTGCCATGGTAACTTTTTTTAATGAAGCAGAATTGAAGATTTTATGAAAGATATCTTAATATTGGCTTCGGTTTGCATGAGATTAAGAGCAAAGAAGTAGGCTGGGCAGTGGTGGTAAATGCCTTTAATCCCAGCACTCTGGAAGCAGAGGCAGACAGGTCTGAGAATGTGGGTGTGGGTTTCTCAGAATCCCAGAGACTAAGTCAGATCTAAGTATGGGAGGTCCTACAAGGAAAGCCATGGTTTGGAACAAAACAAAACTTACTTTGCATATGTGGGGGTCCCTTCTTTCACAACATCTGTCCCACATACCAAGGTCAGGTGATCAGTCTGTGCCACAAGTTCTTTTGCCCACTAAAGTATCTTGCCAGCTTTTCCTGTTTAATTAAAAGTTTTTACTTGAAGTGCATATTGAAAACCATTTTCTACAAAGGCTGTGAACACATCCGTTTGTAGTACATGACTATATAGTCAGCCTTTCCCACTCTGCATATTAAGCCAGTTGTTGTTCTGATGGAAAGCAGTTGTCTAAGTGAAAACACAGTAAGCAACAAGCTTTAGTTAGAAATTGTTCCCACTTACAAAAACTTTGGTGGAGGAAAAGGGGTTCTCTATGAGTTAAATCAGTACTAAATTTGTATAGAGAGCTGGGAATGTAGCTTAGTTGGTAGACAGTTTGCCAAATATGCACAAAGCCTGAATTCATCCCCAACCTAAGTGTGATGAAGACAGGCAGAACAAAAGTTCAAAATTGTCCTCAAATGCAAAGTGTTTCAACTAACCTAAACTACATAAGATTGTCTCCCCAAAAAAAAAAAAAAAAATCAAAAAGAAAAAGGAATTAGAAATTCAATACAATTATGCAGAAAAATTAGACTTTGTAAAGTGCCCTTAAAAATGTTTAGTGCCCAGTCTTGGTGATAACATGCCTTTAATCCTACCACTCAGGAGGCATACATGGGTCTCATCCACATAAGAGCCTGTCTCAGACAAAAAGGTTTTTACTTTAATGGTGGTAGTTTTAGAGACTGGGTCCTGCTGTGCTGCTAGGGTAGCTGCCAACTTTTTGGGCCACTATGTCCAGTCAGAAAAATGTGTTTAAATTAGCTACTCAATAGAAGATTTAGTTATAATAGCCATTCTGATAACTGTGAAGTTTTATGTTGGATTGTACACTTTCACTTTTGAATACTTTGTCTACACTTATCTATCACCAAAACATTGGGGGTTGGTCCATGACAAAACTAGAAAACCAGTGCTGGTTACTTGCATTCATTCATTCCTTATACCCTAATATTTGCCCTACTTGTTCTCCTTTTTGTATGTTATACTGTACACACATTCCCATATTTCTTTTTAGTTTTCCGAGACAGGGTTTCTTTGTATTGCTTTGGAGCCTGTCCTGGAACTCAACTCTGTAGACAGGCTAGCCTCAAACTTAACAGAGATCCGCCTGCCTCTGACCCCCAAGTGCTGGGATTAAAGGTATGTGCCACCAATGCCCACCTTCCCACATTTCTTTACATATATACAGACATATGCCCTGGGATAAAGAAAGCAGGAAAGTGAGACATTTGGGGCTTGTGGGCCTTGTTTGGCTGGCTGCTTCAGTGTATGTGATTTCTCTCTTAATTTATACAGTAGAGATCTCTTCGCCAAGGTTTTACTTGTTTTCAGAAAAAGAAGTAATTTTGCCTGTGATATTGGAAGCATTTTGATCCAGAGTTACCATATTGCCACCCTAAAGTCACTTGTTCCTATGCTTCTTTGTCCCTCTTCCCAGTTGCGGGGATTGAACCTGGGGTCTTGAATTCACCATACCAATAACTTATAACCTTCTTTGTTCTTTGTTTCATTTGCTTTTTTATTATTTTTTTTTCTTCCGTTCTTGAGGGGCCTGCAACCCAGCTCCCAAATAAATACACAAGAGTTTTATTCTTTCTTATAAATGTCAGGCCTCAGTGTGGCTTATTTGTAGCTAGCTTTTCTTAAATTCTCCTGTCTACCTTTTGCCTCTGAGCTTTTACCTTCCTCTATTTCTGCATATCTTTTCTTAATCCATGGCTTGTTCTGTAGCTGAGTGGCTGGCCCCTGCTGTCATCTCTCCTTTTCTTCTTCTCTTCTTTTCTCCTTCTGTTTGTTCTCTCTGCCTGGCAGCCCTACCTATCCCTCTCCTGCCTAGCTACTGGCCATTCAGCCCGTTATTAGATGTGTTTTAGACAGGCAAAGCAACACAGTTTCACAGAGTTAAACAAATGCAACATAAAATAATACAACCCATCTTTGCATCACTAAACAAATACTCCAGCACAAACAAATGTAACCCATCTGGGAATATGGCTCAGAACATTCTACCTCGATGTGTTTGTGTCCCTGGGTTGAGAGGTGAGGGAACTATATATGAAATCACTAGTACTTTATTGTTTTGTGAGTTTATGCTTGAGGTCTTATAAAACCCGATACTTGAATTCATTAGTCTAATTTGCTAGTTAGATAGTATTACTAGAAAGATGACTACAAAAAAAAGATGGGTTAAAAACAAAGTTCAGAAAATAGATTCTGTGGTGGAATATTTAAAAAGAGAGAGAGAAAAGAAAAAAATGTTCTACTAGGAATAGATTGGTTGTTTGGACTCTGTATTCTACAATGCCACATAATAATTCCATCCCATTAGCTAAGAGCTTCACGTGCAGAAGTCTGGAACCCTAGAGGTAAACATTTGTCTCTCAATTTACAGAAGTTGCTGGGTGTGTTTTGCCACCGATGAAGATGATAGAACAGCTGAGTGGGTGAGACCATGCAGATGCAGAGGATCTACTAAGTGGGTTCATCAGGCTTGTCTACAACGCTGGGTGGATGAGAAGCAGAGAGGAAACAGCACCGCCAGAGTGGCATGTCCTCAGTGCAATGCCGAATACCTAATAGTTTTTCCAAAGTTGGGTAAGTACTGTTTTAAGAACAACACATTTACTGTCACATTATAAACCATGATTTCAAGCTTTGGGGAAGAGGGTTGAAGAGGTGGGGACTTGACACAAGCTCTCACCCTGTGTCCCAGCCTGGCCTAGAACTCATGATAATTCTCCAGCCTCATCCTTCCCAGAGTGCCGCCATTATAGCTATGAACCACAACATCCAGCTTTCTAATTGGTTGGTTGGTTGTTGTTTTTTTTTATGTGTATGAGTGTTTTGTCTGCATGCATGTGTGTGCTGTGTGCATGCCTGGTGTCCAAGGAGGCCACAAAAGGGCATTAGATCCCCTGAAGCTGAAGTTTGGTGGTTAGAAACCACCAAGTGAATCCTGGGAACTGATCCCAGCCCCTCTGCTAGAGCAGCCAATATTCTGGAAATTGCTTTGAAGACCAGCCTGCCCTTGAATTCAGAGATCCACCTGCCTCTGCGTCCTGGGTGCTGGAAGTCATTTTCTTCTCAAATAAAAATATAACACAAATAGGCAAGTATGGAAACTTGCTGAGAATAATTTAAACTGTTAGCAAAATAAATCTTTGACACTTAGAGAAGGAAAATACAAAAAAAAACCAAAGATATGAGACCATTTATTTAAAAATAAATCCAGGACAGGCAAGATTGTTAAACAGAGACCCTTTCTCAGACTATCACCCTACTCCTCACCTACCCTAGAAAGAAGGAGGGAGGAGAGGAGAAGAAATATTTTCATGCCTAACTATGAATATAACCAAAGAAGAGCTGTAATACAAAGCTGACTCAGGGCTAGGATACTGCTTAGTTAGTAAAGTGTTTGTCTGGCATTCATGGGGACCCAAGTTCAGTTCTCAGAATGTGGAACCCTGTTTAGAGAGGCAGAAACAGGATTGTCCCTAGGGCCCATTGTCCAGCCAGTCAGTGTTAATTGATCAGGCCAGTGAAATACCCTTGTCTCAGATGAGGTAGGTAGATGGTGTTTCTGAGGGTTACACCTGAGATTGCATACACATTTAAAAAGGAGGGGAGGGGCAGACTTTAGAGCATCATTCTGTGGAGACTGTTTAAGGGAAAAAAAAAAACAAACAAAAAAACTGGTAGGTGTTCTAATATTCCTTAATTCTTCTATTAAGAAACAAAAGTAGGAAAATTAAATTAAAAGTGTTTTTTGGCTATTCTAGGCACTGAACTTTCGGTCGTTCTCATGCTAGGCAGGTGCTCTACCATTGAGCTAATAAAGTTAAGTTTGTTTTCAAAATCCAGTTTATATTGTTATATTTCAGGAAAACTACTCCTTTTTATGGGAATTACTGAACGTGAAAGTAAGCAGAAGTCTTTGAAAGTGGGATTAACTTAAAAAGAAAGTATAACCCATATGTTTCTGAGCTAGTGTTATTGTTGTTTGTAATTTATGCCTTGCTATTCTTTAAAAAACTTACAGTTTTACCCTTACTTATAACTAAGAAGTATGGAGGAGACCCACCTTGGTTTATGGGGCAGACCAAAGGAAAGAGAGTCTGGAGGAAATGCATTGTTCTTGTTAGGTGCTATGCATAGTATAGAATTGTAGATAATGAAATACTTTCCCAATACAAGAAAATGAGGTGAATATAGAATATGTGTGCTTGTTGTCACGTGTGAGAGAAATGACAGCTATTCATGAAAGGCAAGGAATATAGTAAAGAAGGTGACTTCAGGGCCGCCTTAAGCTATATAGGATGTTCAAGACTGGCCTGAGCTATACAGTTAGACAATCACAAAGGAAAAAAAATAACCTAAGGTGCTTTCATCCATTGTAAGTGCAAAACAATATTGTAAAGCACTGTAAACATCTATAGGCAGATCTGACTTCACAGCCAGCCTTCTCTACATAGTGAGTTTGAGGACACCCATAGCTATATAGTGAGACTCCTCTTCAAACTGAAGCAGAGATGGCTCAGTGGTCAGGATCTGGCTGCCCTTGGCTGAAGAGAATCTGAGTTTGGATCCCAGAACTCATACTGGACAACTCAAAGCCACTTCTGATTTAAGGTCCAGAGGATTTGCATACACGCACGCACACATGTACATCTTTAAAAGAAATCCTTAATCCTTAGGATGAAAGCACAAGATTTGCAGGTTTGTGGCTACACACCCAATTCAACCTGAAACTGAATCACAGCTCTAGCAAAGTTACGTTTACAATGTCTTAAGACAAAGCTGATTACTTTTTTTTTTTTGAATAGCCTAATAAAAGTTTCAAATGTAAAAACTTGAGTTTACCCAGAATATTAGGATAGTTTATGTCTTTATTTAAAAAAAAAATCTTTATTGTGTAAAAGAACTTACAATAAAGCTTCCTTTGCTTCCTTTTACAGGCTTTTTAAATACCTTTTGAATTATTAGATTTCTAAAAGATGTTTATTCAAAAATTCAATTGCTATCCATTATGTAAATATAATACTGTTGAAAGTATATGTGGTAAGGGCCACCACGCCATTTAAAATCCAGTAAAGTGGACTGGGGAACTGGGGCTGTAGCTTAGTGAAGAAACACTTAGCATGCAAGAAGCCCTGGGTTTAGTCATCAATCAGGGCTGAAAAAGTAATAATGTCTTTCTAAAATATTGAAACTTTTATGCCCTTAGTTAATTTATAATGAGCAGTTATTTATGTTTTCTCCTGTTAGGGTAGGAATTTCCAAGGGCTAAGATTTTGTTTTCTTCCATACTCTGTAGCTCTTTGTGTTGTAATCTGGTGCTGTATTTCTAAAATGTATGATCCTAGTTAATGAGGCAACTGCATCAAATCTCGTGGTTGGCACACTGGGTTGGGGTTTACCATTCAAAAGATTTTCATGATTGTTTAAGGTTTTTTTTTTTTTTTTTTTTTTTTTTAATGATTGCTTTTTTAATTTTTATGTGCATTGGTGTTTTGCTTATATATGTGTCTGTGTGAGGCTGTCAGGTCCCCTGAACTATAGCTGCAAGGCAGTTGTTAAGCTGCATGTGGATGCTGAAAATTGAACCAGGGTCCTCTGGAAGAGCAGCCAGTGCTCTTAACCTCTGAGCCATCTCTCTGGTCCCTTAGGTGATTGTTTTTAACAGAATACTTAGTTAGATAATCTTTAACTCTTGGCTGGCACTTTATCATAATGGTATGTTTAATGCTAGTATTTATTCTCCCTTCCAAATATTAAAACTAATCTTGGTCTAGTCTCCCTGGAAGTAATGAAATATTTGAGCAAAGTAAAAATTAAGGTAAAAGCCAAGACAAGAATTTTGTCTGAAAAATCTATAATAAGTAATTCAACCCATTCCTTAATTTTACCAGGCATATGTTTTACATATAACCCACGGGACAGACATAAAATTTCCAAAAGGAAGTATGAGGATTTACTTATACTTCCTTATAAAAATTCACACCGAATGATTCCTCAAGAATGTCTAGTATATTTTGGTATGATTTTCTGCAGTCTGTCAGAAAAACATTCAGACATCTAGGTTGTCCTTCGGAATCTAATGAAAATAATTGTGGGCTGCCTTTTATGAATTATGTTTCCATCCAAGTATGTATGACTTTTATATATCACTTCATTTCACTAACAGGACTGGATGGCTCAACCATTAAAGGCTAGGCTCACAACCAAAAATATAAGATAATTCAGTTAAACAAATACTTGAGAATCATAGGAATTTGGGATACATCAGTAAACAAAATCACAACTTTTTCCCTTTTGAGCCATGTTTCATTCAAGACAGGAATAAGCAAATCTCTTCTCTAAAGACCTATATAAATAATATGTTTTAGACTTTGCATCTGGCCATTTTCCAATAAAACTTCAGTCACAAAAATAGACAGCTGGTTAGATTTGGCTATGGGGCTGTAGTTCTCCATTATTCTAGTAAATTGAAATAGATTTGATAAGTAAAGTATTGTTATGTGATGAAAATGCTTTAGGAGAAGGAGATATAACAAAGTAAGTAAGAAGTAGTATAGATCGGCATAGGGAACATTATGGAAGTAGAAAAGAAGTCAGCAGAGGAAACTGAAGAGTGAGTGATAAGATATGTTGTGGAAATGTAAGAACCAACCATATGTTGGGGAAAAAATGTCTTATACAGCTGATAGGACAGTAAATGGTGCTGAGATTTGACCACTGGATTTAGATATGTGGGGATTAGTGATGTCCATGAACAGCTTGGGCAGAATAGGTTTGTGGGGAAATTAGACAATTATTTTGAGTATTTTGTTCAAAAGAAGCAAGGAAATGGAGTAGTAGGCCCAGAAGGATCAAATTTTAGAATGCTGGTGCACATCTTTAGTCCCAGCACTGGGAAGATGAGGCAGGTGAATCTTTGTAATTTCAAGGCCAGCCCAGTCAGCTTAGTGAGTTCCAGGCCACCTTGAGCTACATAGTGAGGCTCTGCTTTGACAATAATAAAAAGATTTTAAGGGATTGGTAAAAAAGATTCAGCAGATAAGGACAATTGCCCTAAGCCTGCTGATATGAGTTTGGTCCTTGGACCCACATGGTATATAGAAGGAACCAGTTCCTGACGGTGTCCTCTGGCTTCTCAAAGCACCTGCCCACATCCTGCATATACACACATTGTAATTTTTAAAAAATTAAGTTTATTTTTAAGATAAGTGAAATAATGTTTGATAAAATTAAGCCATTAATTGGGGGACATGATGAAGGAGAGTGGGAAGAGAACTTCCAGAGCTATGAGCTTGAGTTAGTGAGGAGATGCATGGGTTTACAGTTGAATGGTTGGCTTCCAGTGTGCCCAGTAGGAACATGCTTAGGAGAGATTTGTATGTAGCTCTTGAGGCTTGAGTTTTCTAATTACAGATTTATCAGTCACAAGAAAGCTCAAATGTAGAGCTTTTATTTATTATGTGCTGCGGTTTCTGGCTTCCAATGCTGCCCTCTATGGAATCTTTCCTTCACAAAGTCATCTTTCTCTTTACAGCGGCTGGCTCTAGAAGTCAGTGGGGAGTATTGACCGAGACTTTTTAAGACTTTTTTTTCCTTGTATGTTTAAGTATTCTATTTTCAAATTACTTTGTTAATTTCTTTGTACAATAATGGTAACTGCTTTTGTGTTTAGCATTCTTTAGAAAATAGGCCTCAAGAAAGCAAGGGATAGAACTCACACATTTCTAAGAAAATGTCTATAAAACAGTTAATATGGAGAGGTATTCATTAAATACAATTACTTAGCCAACAAGTTACATATATCTTTGCTTAATTGCAGACATTGAGGTTGGATTTACTTTGAACAGATTTAAAACCTTTCCACTTCTCTGAAAATTCTAGAGTTAAATTAACTTGGACTTAATGGCAAGCAGAATACTTCCAAAATACTAAGCATATAATTGGCAATTGGCACATGTAGCTGTTGAAATACCATAAATACTGTCTTCATAATCGTTTTTTAAAAGCTTGTTAGAAAATAATTTTCAACTAAATATAGTGTATTTAAAATCAAGTAAAATAAATTGACTCGTGTACTATAAGAAAATACCAGTAGACTAAAGAGATGACTCACTAGTTAAGAACACTTGCTACAGAGAATCTGGGTTCAATTTTCAGCACCTACCTATATAGAGACTCATAGCCGTATGTAATTCTGATTTCAGAAGACCCAATACCCTTCTGTGTATCACCAGGCATAAATATGCTGCACAGAGATGCAGGCAAAAAAAAAAAAAAACCTCATGTACATTAAATAAATTGATCCTTAAAAAAAGAAAGAAAGAAAATAGCATGGCTATCTTTATAGACACAATGACTAAAGTTAGAAATGTTACTTTTTTTTTCTTTAAACCAGGTACTCTAGGAGTTGGTGGTTCCTAGGAACAATTTGGAGGGAAAAAAAGCTAAAATAGCCTTTTATTCTGCAGTAGCCAATGTGATTGAGAGATATGTTTGTTTCCTTCATTGGGAGCAGCTGTGTTTAAAGCTCTAATTTCAGAATCAGTAATAAAGTTTGAACAGCCTAGAATTCATTCATGCAAATGGTTGAGAAATTCTAAACTATTCAAATCTGAATTCTCATCAGAATTCTAACTAGAGGCTAGAGAGATGGCTCCATAATTAAGAGCATGATACTGCTTGCTTTTCTAGAGACCCCAAGTTCAGTTCCCAGCACCCATGTCAAGTAAGTGGCTCACAGTTAGTTACAAGTAACTCCAGCTTCAGGTGATCTGACACATCTGGCCTCCACAGGCATCCTGATGTATGTGACACACACTCGACAGTAAGCATGCATACACACACACCCATTACTATCTATCCATTCAACAACTATTTTTAGAACATCTAATTTGATGCAGGTGTTTTAGACCTATAGAAAATATTGAAGAAGTCATTCTAAAAACCACCTTGTATTGAAACTTTTCTCTCTTCATATTGTAGGTCCAGTCGTTTATGTCTTGGATCTTGCAGATAGACTGATCTCAAAAGCTTGCCCTTTTGCTGCAGCAGGAATAATGGTTGGATCTATCTATTGGACAGCTGTGACTTATGGAGCAGTGACAGTGATGCAGGTTCACCATTCTCCTCTATTCAGTGACACTACTTTTGATGTGAAGGTCTATTAAACATTTGCCAGGAGTTTTTTTAAGTGTATTGTTTTAAATGAGTAATGATACTATCATGATTAAAGAATAAGTTACATAAAAACTAGACTAAAGCCGACGAGATGCCTTAGTGGATAGAGATGCTTGCTGCAAAATGTAATGATCCAAGTTCAATCTCCCAGCACTCACATGTTAGAAAGGGCTCAGAGAATTGACTCCCAAAAGAAGTTGTCTTTGAACTCTACACGAGCTGTGGCATGCCCTACCCCATACATACACACAGTAGACAAAGTGTTAGACAGAGTGGTCTAGTGAAAAGTTCTCCTGTCCTTCGTTTGCCTAAATCCCCAATCACCTCCTCTGGTAGCCACTATAGCTAATTTCATGTTATAGCCACAGTTTCTTTCTCATAATGAATCTTGATCTTTTTACCTATCAAGATCTATATAGCATTCTTGTATAAAATTACAGCAGTTTGTTAACCATTTTGTTTTTATTTTTAGATAGGTCTCAGTGTTTGGCTTCAAGCAAGGTGTACATAAATGAAATACTAGGGGAATAATTATATAATTTTGTAAATATTAATTGAATACAGAACTAATTCAGGAAAAGGGAGCACTCGATTGCTAATTATAAGAAAAGCCTTGAGCTGGTGCTTGAAATTTGTAGGATTTGGATTTATAGACTGGAAGTATCAATATAATAAAAGTTACAAATATGTATTATGTATTAATTGTTTAGAAATTACCTTTCATTGACTGCCTTATTTGAAACATATATTCCAGGAATGAGTGATTAGCTGGAACAGTAGATAGGTACTGTGTGAATTAAGAGTATTGGGACGATATCTTTGGGGGCGCTGAGACAGGGTTACTATTCTGTGTAGCTTTGGAAGCTGTCCTGGAACTAGCTCTTGTAAACCAGGCTGGTCTTGAACTCACAGAGATCCACCTCCTCTGCCTCCCAAGTGCTTTTACTAAAGGTGTGGACCACCACTGCCCAGCCAGGGAGATATTTTTTACCTACTTAAACATGCATATTTGAGTATGTAAGCAAAGTTTTCATGGTAAAAAATCCTATAAATGTAGCTTCAAAGTCAGAAGTAACACAAGAATATATATTACTGCTGTTGCTTAACATTGTTTTGGCTATTCCATTACTTACACTTCTATTTACTCATTTTTACAGCATCTTTACAAGCAGTTATCTGTATATATTTGATAATAAATATGCCTCAATAAACCAACAGTATTTAGTTGTTTTTTGGAGGGGCGGGGAGCAAAGTAGTTCATGTCACACTCGCAATTAACATTAACAACACATGAATGGACAGGTTATCATATGCCCTGTAAGTAAGGTTTTTTCCTCCCGCTGCTGGTCTTGTCCCGCCACTGTGCCGGCCCCAATGAACACACCAAGACACTGTATTTGATATAATGTTGGCCCATTACTTGTTTCTTATCGGCTAGCTCTGCCTTAAGTATTAACCCATTTCTGTTAATCTATGTATTTTCACGTAGTCTCATCTTACCGGAGAGCTGGCTAGCGTCCTGCTCTCTCCAGGCTCTCCATGTTGACTCCTCCCTACTACTTCCTCTTTCTTCCTTGTCTCCTAGTCCCTCCTCTCTTTCTTATTGGCCAACAGTGCTTTATTCATTAACCAGTATGAGAAACATTTACAGAATGGCATCTCCCATCACCCAGGCTTCCTTTAATTTGACTTATTTCCCAAGGTTGACTTTGAACTTCTGAACTTCTTGCCTCCACTTTACCAAGTGGTAGGATTATAGCCTTACGCTACTCTAATGCTTAGGGTTGATTGAGGACTTGACAGGAACTAGTCACTAAAAATACAAACCTGGACACTTGCATGAGGGATTATCTAGATTAGGTTAATTGAGGTGGGAGCACACCCTCAGTGTGGGCAACACCATTGCATGAGGTGAGGTTCTGTACTTCATAAAAGGAGAAAATGAGCTGGGGCTGCCTCAGTCTCCTGTCAGCACCCCTTCCCCACTGTGCTCAGCTGTGTTCTCACCCTCTCTCTTGTTGGGTGTTAAATCACAAGTAAAAATAGCTAATACGGCCACTGTGCCCAGTTTATATGGTGCATCAACTGAGCTACATGCATATCATGCCCTGGGACTTGCCATCTCCCAGGGCCTTAAAGTTAAGTTTCTTTCAGCTTCTCTGTGATCATCTCTGGGGTTCTTTCTTATAAATTACCAGCCAGATCACTATTCCTTTCCCATTACTTCTCTGTGTCTCCAGTCTTTTAATTATGGGATTTGAATGAGATTCTTCACTTGCTTTTTGTGTTTGTTGGGTTTTTGTTTGTTTTGAGACAGGGTCCCACTATGTTGTCCTAGCTGATCTTGAACTCACTGAGTTCTATATCACTGCCTCCCAAATGCTGAGGTTTTCTTTTGGAGTGCAGGGGAGTGAGAGTACTGTTTGTGTTTTAAGACAGGGTATCTCTGATGTATAGCCCTGGCTGTCCTAGAACTTGCTTTGTAGACCAGGCTGGCCTTGAATGCAGAGATCCACCTCCCTTTGCCACCTTTAGATCAGATGAAGTGATGTCATAATTTGTTCTTTCTTAATCACAGTTTCCCACTACATTTCCCTTCCCCTCATACTGGTTCATTTACCTCCTTTCCCATCTTCTACATTCTTATAAGACCTTCCCACAGTCCCCTTTTTAGTTTCACAACAAAAACATATGTAAAATATACACATAAGTTTAAATCTAGATTCTGCATAGGATAGAAAGTACATGGTTTTCTCTTGTCTGGTTTATTTTGCTTAATATAACAATTGCCAGGTTTTGTCTATTTTCTTGTAAATGTCATTTTTTTTGTATGTTAACTAAATCCATGTGTACCACCTTTTCTTTATCCATTTATCGATCTGTTATGGATATCTGCCTGTTGATATTGTTTGGGTATATCACCAAGAATAGTGTAGCTTTTTTTGAGGAATTTCCATGCTGACTTCTACAGTAGCTACCCGAGTTTAAGTATCAGGATTCCTTTTTCCCACGTCCTCCCTGGCCAGCTTTTGTTTTCTCAAAATTAGTCATCTGACTGGGATGGGTTGGAATCTCAGAGCAGTTTTGATTGGCATGCCTGATGTCTAAGATGTTGGACACCTTTTCAGATATTAATATGTATTAGTCATTTGTATTTCTTCCTTTGAGAAGTCCATTTAGGAATTAGAGAAACTCCATTCACAATAGCTTAAAATAGAATATTTTAAAAATAAACCTAATTTTGTGGTATTGAAGAAGACATTAAGGTCTAGAGAGATGGCTCAATGGTTAATAATGCTACTCCTTCAAAGGATCTGGGTTAAATTCCCAGCACCCACTTGGTATCTCACAGCTATTTGTAACTTTAGTTTCAAGGGGTCCATCCCTCTTCTGCAAGCACTGGGCACGCATGTAGCTCACACACACACATTCAGGCATACACATAAAATATATGCAGGATTAATATTGCATAAATGTCTGTTGCTGGGCAGTGGTGGTGTATGTATTTAATCCCAGCATGGGTGAAGCAGAAGCAGAGTTGGAGGCCAACCTGGTCTATAGAGTGAATTTCAGGACAGCGAAGTCTACACAGAAATCCTGTCCCCCAAAACAAAAGCAAACAATATCACTATGCTCTCCAGCATTCTGTGAGTTACAAGCCATTAAGGGTTACGTGGTAAGACTCTAGCTTAAAAACAAAAGCAAACTGATCTCAGACTTACTACAGAGCCTTAGTAACAACAGACATGTAGACCAATGGAATAGAATAAAAAACATAGGAGTTAATACAGCTATATCCACCTAATTTTCAACAATAGTGTCAAAAACATGCATCGGTTCAGGCATGATGTCCAGTGTCTGTAACTGTAGGGAGTAAAGGCAGGAAGATGAGCTTGAGGTCAGGCTCAGCTACATAGTGAGTTTGAGACAGCTAGCTTGGGATATATGAGATCATGTCTCAAAACAAAAGCATACATTGAGGAGAAAAATCAAGCTTTTCAATAAATAGTACTGGGTAAACACTTGAAGGAGAGTAGAACTAAATTCCTATCTGTACCAAAACCAGAGCGGATCAAAGACCTGAGGAAAAAACATAGGTGAAACTCTTAGAGGCATGGACAAGAATTTTCTCAGAATTATTCTAGCAGCACAGAAATTGACAAACTGAGTTACATTAAATTACAACATTTCTGACAGCAGAAGAAGCAATCACCAGGATGAAAATAGCCTTCAGTGTAACAAATCTTTCTCTGTCTTGCTAGCCAACTCCCAAATCATGACGCTGAAATTTCTTATTAATCATGAAAGCTTGGCCTATGGCTTAAGCTAGTTCCTAACTAGTTCTTATAATTTAAAATAATCCATTTCTGTCACTCTACATGCTGCCATGTGGCTTGTGGCTGCTACCTCTCCTCCTTCATGTCTTGCTTGTTCTTCATCTCCTGGCATCTCTCCTGCATGCCTCGATTCCTCTTCTACTTTTCTTTCTGCCTGCAACTCAAGTTCTGCCTATACCTCCTGTCTAGCTATTGGCTGTTCAGCTCTTTATTAAATCAATCAGTGTACAAATATTCCATAACACTCAGAATGAGAAAAGATTGTTGCTACCTGTACATTAAACAGGAGACTCATATCCAAAATATGTAAAGAACTGTGAAAGTGAAATTTCACTTGCATTTTTAGATTTTAAAAGGCATTTTCATTTGTGTGTATATACGTTATGTATAAACTCATTCTGTGTGGAGGTCAGAGGACAACTCTTGGAAGTCAGCTTTCCTGTCACCTTGTGTGTAATCCTGTGGTCAAGCTCAGGTCACTTAGGTCTCTGTGCAAGTGTTTTTATCCACTACACATCTTCCCCCACACTCCCTTTACACTTTTTATTGAAAAGACAGCATGTTATTAACTTCCCCAGCACTAAAATGAATGCCTTTTAAGCACTGATGCATGTAAACCCTAAAAACAATGTTGTGACATAGATAAACTTTTTCGTAGATTACTGATTTCTGTGTCCTGTTTCAGATAGCAAAGGCACATTAGGCCCTGCCTCTAGTGTGAAAGAAAATAACCTCCGTAAACATTGAAATATTTTCTTTCTTTCTTTCTTTTTAATTTGAGGCGAGATCGTTTGAACTCCTAAGTAGCAAGTAGTTAGGAATTAACAGGCAGTGTGCCATTACAGTTAAGCCTTACACAAGCAAAATGCAGTGGCCACTGAACTAGAGCCTCAGCTGCTAGCTGTGTTTTTAGGCTGTCTTTTGAAGTGAGTCCCACTCCTTGCTCAGCTGTGCCTACCTAAAAGGAAGCACAGGACACAGACATCTTCTAGAGGACAAATAGCACCTAAAATTACCCCAGTCCCAGAGCTCACTGACAAATTGAGGAAGAGGAATGGACATAAATGACAGATGTCCCCCCTACATGCTGGTGATTCTTCCCCTTCCCCAAAGAAATCTACTTAGAGACTAGTAGATTCTCCATTTTTGTCTTTTAAGTCACAAATTCATAGAATATGGACTCCAGCATCTCAGGCTCCTTTCCATTAGTTCTCGAAAAGTGTGCTTCTCTAGGTTGAGCTGAACCCAGGTGCCTTTCTCTTCCTGGTTGTTTGCCTTCACCTGTTTCAGGTGTCCTTAGAATACTTAATATGCTCAATGCACACTTTGATTCTCTTGGCAAGAATCTTTTCCTTGTTTACAGTGATGCCCACAGCATACTAAGTGACATAGTAAACTTCCACTTTAATGGGGCATTCCTTTTTGACTGCCCATTTCTTTGATGTTCACAGTATCACCCTTCCTATAGATTTGCATGTTATGTGGCCAGAGGAACACCTCCATGTTTTCTACACAGTCTAGAGAACACATAGGTGCCTTTCATCTCTCCCTTCCTGTTTGTCATTTTGGTAAATTACTGGAAGATGGCTGCTACACTGAAAGGCCATGTACTCCTTTAACCCCGGCACTTGGGAAGCAGAAGCAAGTGGATCTTTTTGAGTTTGAGGCCAGCCTGGTCTGCTTAGTGCTTAGTGGGTTCTAGGACAGCCAGAGCTACACAGTGAGACTTATCAAAAAATTAAGTAACAACAAAACTCAAATGTCCCTTCACAACTCTACTGAGATGTGATCAGTGTAGTCCAGCCATTTTTGTAACATTATTTTATTCCAACATAAAATGGAATAGCTTGGGAATTTTATCCACCACCCTCCATGGATAAATGGTGGGGTTTTTTGGTTTTTGTTGTTCAAGACAGGGTTTCTCTGTAACAACCCTAGCTGCCCTGAAACTTGCTTTGTAGACCAGGTTGGCCTCTAATTCATAGAGATCCACCTACATCTATCTTCCAAATGCCAGGATTAAAGTCATGTGCCACCAGCACCCAGCTAAATTGTGATTTTGGGTGTTTTTTTTTTTTTTTTTGAGATGGGCTTACCTGGCTAACTTAGAGCTATGTAGACCCACCTAGTCTCAAAGTAACAGAGATCTGCCTGCCTCTATGTTCCAAATACTGGGATTAGAGGTGAGCACAACAGAGGCCACAACAGCTCATCACATTCCTGGAACTGTAGTTACAGGTGGCTGTGAACTACCATATGGAAGCTGGGAATCTAACCTGGGTGTGCTGTAAGAGCAGCAAGTGTTCTTAACCACTGAGTCATCAATCCCCAGTATTACTTCTTACAAACAAATCAACTTTCAGGCTTTATTTATTTTTTTTTTTTTAACTTCTGTAACTAAGCATTCCTTAACAAAATGAACTGAATGCCTACCACTTAAATATATATACCACTGCAGCCATGCAGTGGTGGCGTACGCCTTTAATCCCAGCACTCGGGGAGGCAGAGAGATCTCTGAGGTTGAGACCAACCTGGTCTACAGAACAAGTTCCAGGACAGCCAGGGATACACAGGGAAACCATGTCTCAAAAAAAAAAAAAAATGTACCACAGCTTTAGATAAGAAAATAACTGTAGAACCAGGCGTTGGTGGCACATGCCTTTAAACCCAGCACTCAGGAAGCAGAGGCAGGAGGATCTCTGTGAGTTCAAGATCAGCTTGGTCTACAAGAGCTAGTTCCAGGACAGCCTCCAAAGCCACAGAGAAACCCTGTCTCAAAAAAAACAAGAAAAAGAAAATAACCATAGCAAATGCTGTCTGCTTTACAGGTTGTAGGCCATAAAGAAGGGCTGGATGTTATGGAGCGAGCTGACCCTTTATTCCTTTTGATTGGACTTCCTACTATTCCTGTCATGCTGATACTGGGCAAAATGATTCGCTGGGAGGACTATGTGCTTAGACTCTGGCGCAAATACTCAAATAAACTACAAATTTTGAACAGTATATTTCCAGGTAAGGAACTGAATTGTGGCTTTGTAAAGTACATGTTGAATTGACCTTTAGAAAAACCATCTCATGTTTTTTGTTGTTGTTGTTGTTAGTGGTGATGGTGGTTTGTTTTGGGGGTGGGGAGCTCATGTTTCAAACTTAAAGCTTTTTTTTTTTTTTTAGCTATTCTAAAATTTAGTGCTAACTTAATGCTTCCCCTTCCAGGGATTGGTTGTCCTGTTCCTCGAATTCCAGCTGAAGCTAATCCTTTAGCTGATCATGTCTCTGCTACCCGAATTTTGTGTGGAGCCCTTGTCTTTCCTACTATTGCGACAATAGTTGGTAAACTGATGTTCAGTAGTGTTAACTCAAATTTACAAAGGACAATCTTGGTAAGATGGATTTAATATTACTTGTCTCAAGCAGTATACAGAAGAGAATGAACTGTATTTGTTTTTAAAGGGAGAAGGAGGTTCTGTAGGGGCTCTATGTAGTTCCCCTGCCCTGTCTCTTCATTATCCCCACTGTCATCTTAGCTCAAGGGAAATGAAAAGGGAGGTCCTACTGTTGCCAATCTGGCCTCTGGACCCTTTCTGTAGGTACCTTCTCTTCTGGAATATGCTCTGGGCTCACTCCCCAGTACCAGCATCATAAATAAACAAATGAGATGAAACTGGCTCATGCTGTGTCCTGTCATCCCCCTTGCCCTCGCTGGTCACAGTCCACATGGTGCTCTGGCATTCTCCTTTCTCTCGAATGAATATAGAACTCGTGGGAAGAAAACAACTCGAGTGATGCCAGGTGAAGGAAACTCACTCTCTCTCTGCGACTTGAAGTGTCTACTTCTTTCCCAGTCTCAGCCCCTCATAGAAAAGGATATTTTCTTTGCAGTTATCAGGACTTACTTGGCGTCAAAGCCTGTGTCCTTCATAATCTATGTGAGTTCTCTTTCTTGTTTCTCTAAGCCTGCGTTACAAAAAAATTAATTTCCCTTTTTATTTTAGGGTGGAATTGCTTTTGTTGCCATAAAAGGAGCATTTAAGGTTTACTTCAAACAGCAGCAATATTTACGTCAGGCACACCGCAAAATCCTAAATTATCCAGAGCAAGAAGAAGCATAAAACTGACTTCTGGTTGTTCTGAGGCCTCTCATCCTGAGGAGTCTATTGTGTTGTTCTGATTCCATCATTAACGCACTAGAGGAGACTTGTGATAACCTACTGCTCCTATCTTTTAAAGAAATGTAATAAAGCACGCAAGGCAGGGGATCCTCTCAGTAATCACAGAACTAAGGATACGATTCAACCTGGTCATTTGTATGTACTGCTTTGACAGCCTTTGGCTGAACCATTATCTTAGCATGGTATACCTGGGTTTGTTCATATTTTTCCAGACAAAAATGTAAAGATAAAACTGTACAAATATTAAAATGGACATGCTGTTTTATTCTGATGCCTCTTTTGTATATACTCATGTTCAGTGTTTTCTTAGGAATAACAACTCAAATGAAGGTACTGTGAGGACTTTTCTCACTGGCATACTTTGATTATGTGCTAAACAGGAGCCTGTGTTAATATGAGGAAGCGTAAATTAGTTCTTAATAAATAACAGACCAAAAAAATGTATGTGAGCATTGAAATGATCATCTGAACAACACGGATTCTGTTGCCTTTTCCTTAACCCATGTGACATCTCAGATGTGTAGGGTCAGTTTCCAGGGCTTCCAGATCACTTTTTCACTATTAAACTTTATTTATGCAATGTTGACATCTCATAGTTCATAATCCATCTAGTCGTCGTTGTCGTGAGTGTCTGTGTGTGTGTCTGGGGGGTTGTTTAGAAAAGGTGGGAGGGAAGGAGAGGGTAGGGATAGGAGAGAAGGACCTTATATCACTTAAATGTTTTTAAAGTTGTATTTTTAGTACTTGGAGCTGCCAGTTAGTAATTTAATCAGAGAATAACTTGCAAAAAAAAATTACTGTTTTTTTTCATTGGTTTAGTTATTCAGGTATTTGTTATTCACTTCACATTTATTTAGCCACTTCAGGGTGCTGTGAGATACAATGGTGAACAAGACAAATTTGGTCCCAACTCTAAGAGTATGCAGTCTAATAGACAAATAGTAAGTGAACCAAAGTGAGATCTTGAGCATATTGTGAATCTCAGTCATTGAAGTAATAAAGAAAACAAATCTTTAATGAATCTTGGTTTTGGTTTTGGCTACATCCATTTCTAGGATAGCCAATACTGATATTTTTTTTTATGGTGTTTTGTTTTTGAGTCAGGGTCTCTCACATAGGCTAGCTTCAAACTTCCTATATATCTGAAGATAACCTTGAGCTCCTGATCCTCCCAATCACAGGCAAGCGCCATCATACCTGCTGTTTTTATGCAATGCTGAGGATTGAATCCAGGGCCTTCTGCATACTAGGTAAATACTACCAACTGAGCTCCATCACCAGTCCTCTTCTGAGATTCTAATTGTCATATTCAGGGGGATAACTCCTTAATAGTCTTTATTTAACTAGTTTTCATTGTTCAAGTGCAGTTATTTAGGTCATGTTTAATAGTGACCATTTTAATGTTCAGCAGTCTGAGTGTCCTTTTAGTTATTTTCATTGATTAAAATGAAAAATAAGTTTAAAAATACTGTTCACAGTATCTGATGCGTGATAATAAATGGTCCCCCTTACTGAGAAGTAGATACTTTTGGAGTGTAACAAATACAGGCTGAGCTATGTTAGTTGTAAATAAAATATAATTTTAGTAAAGACTGGTGTCTCTGTAGGTTGGATATCTCAGTTTTGAGTTTTATGGTGTCAGTGTGAATGACTGAACATCCAGAGTTGTAATTATCTACAGTGTAAGGGACAATTTGGCTGTGTTAATCCTAACACTGCTATTGTTTTGAAGAAAAAATATGAGCTCTGGTTATATATAAAAATAACTTAGATATCTAGCTATAATTATGAAATATACTGGCTTCTATAATTTCCAGTGTGAAAAGATATATTAGAAACTTCTTTGATAAATTTGTTGAATTGAGCAGCATTTACACAGTTATGCAAGCACTCAGTTCCCTATGTACTACATTAATGTCCATGATGGGATTGATTGTTATCAAGGCCCATGCAGACCAAGGAAGCACCTTGGCAGGAGGTAGAAGTTTGGAGAGCTATGGGGAAGGAACCACAAGTGCCTGTGGACCAGAGCAAATGCCAGCCTTATAACTGAGTGGTTTAAAGAAAACGCCCCTTGTGAGTCCTCTCTGGACAGTGGCCACCAACCATATGGTAACAAAGAGCATGGGCAGATAGCTTTTTGTTGTTTTTAGAGACAGGATTTCTCTGTGTAGCCCTGGCTGTCCTGGAATTCACTCTGTAGAGCAGGCTGGCCTTGAGCTCACAGAGATCCGCCTGCCTCTGCCTCCAGAGTGCTAGGATATTAGGTGTGCACCACCAACGCCCAGCCAACAGCTTTAAAATACTAATTCAAGTTTTAGTAATTGTACTATATAACCTACAAAGCAAAGTGGCTACTTGGCCACTGTTATTTTCATCTCTAAAATTCAAGTCACACTTAGACAGTTTCTAGAATTAGCTGTGAAAGGACAGAAGTACTTTAGGCCTCAATTGCTCCTAAAAAGTGCCCGTCTGTGTTCTAGGACAGGACAGTAATAAAAGGGCAGTAGAGAAGAGAGACAGAGACTTTGGGAATATATGAGTACACTATTCTCCAGTTTATTTTCATATTGTTTTTCTCTTGTTTCTAGACATGTCAATGTTTAAACCTCTTTTTATAAAATTCAATGATTAGTAAAATTCTATTGTAGAAGTTAACTCCAAGTGGCTGAAAATATTGTTCATTACATACTTACCAAATGATCGAAGAATATATAATTAAATCTAGTGACTTCATTAGTCACTGCCTTGCTAATTCTGCTGTAATTTTTTTAATATCTTGTTTTTAATATAGAAAACTCAAAACTGGCTGGATTAGGTTGAATAAAGAATTTTTATGCTCTCTAGTGTACTTTGTTTGTTGAACCAACCGTAAGATTAATCCTGTACCTATATAACTTTTTTGAATTTTCAGTTACCAAGATCTTCATGAGACTTACTATAAAAGTAATTTGAAGTTTTGGGTTTTTTTTTGGCTTTGAATATTTTTAATTAAATGTTCTGTGTGTGTGTTTGTGTGTGCGTGCGCATGCAATGTTCATGGAGTCCAGAACAGGACACCCAATCTCCTGGGACTGAAGTTCAGGTAGTTGTGACCTACTACACATGGATGCTGAGAACTGAACCTGGGTCTCATGCAGTAAAGACTTGTAAGCCCTGGAACCTCCTCTCTCGCCCCCTTTTAAGGTTATTCTAATACTTTTATTCACCTTATATGTGTGGTTGTGCGTGCTATGGCTTGTAGGGAGGTCAGAGGACAACTTTGAGAGTCAAATCTGACCTTCTACCATGTGGGTCTGGGGGATTGATGTCAGGGCATCAGATGTGCCAAAGCCATCGGACCAGCTGTGAAGTTTTACACTCGCTTGCTGGCCTAGTGTAAACCAGGTGTAGTCACATGCCTGTAATCCCAGCACTCAGAGACAGAGGTCAATTCAACATTGTCCTTTACTACATAGCCAGTTTAGGCTTTGTAAGACCCTAACTCAAAAAAGTTTATAATTAAGCTTACCTAATTTCAAAATATATTCTAATGATGTATCCCTTTCTGCCAGCCTTAGAGCTCCATGGAACTTCCCCTGAAATACTAGGAACTTTACATGTTTTTTTTTTTTTTGGATTTTGGAAAACAATTTCATGTAGCCCTGACTAGCACCGAACTTGCTGTGTATCTGAGGCTGACCTTGAGTCTTCATGCTCAATCTCTACTTCCCAAAGACTTTGATTATAGGCATGTACCAAAAAACAGCTTGAAATGCTAGGACAAGTGTTTCTGACATGGGGACTGGAGAGAAGGCTCTGTGATCAAGAGTATTGCACTTGCAGAGGACATGATTCCATTCCCAACACCCACGTGGTTCACAACTAACTCTGGTTCTAGGAGACTCTGATGCCCTTTTCTGGTCTCTACAGGTACCAGGTATACAGGCAGATAAAACATTCATATACATAAAAATAAGTCATAAAAACAAAAATTTCAAACATTTCCGATGTAGGTTAGAATATTCTAGATTACATAAGCCAAAGGCACTTGCATCATAGTAAATGATCTTGTTGGGTCTATGTCACTATTGCTCATGTCTGAGATACAGATTAGTCAGAAGCGGTTGGATTCCCTTGGGTGCATGTTCTAGCTGATAAATGTGAGTTCCCTTTTAGACCCTAGGTTTCTTTATGAATGGAATGAAAACTGTAAAAACATATTTATCTCCTGGGTTATTTGTGAGGATTAAGTAAAGTCTTTCTGTAACAAAGCTTAATATGCAAGAAAATCAGTTCAAATAGGTTCGTAGTGACAATCTGTCCATAGCTCACCTTGGGCCGCTTGCTGCCTCCAGACTGCCATCCTGAACACAGGAAGGGAGGGCTTGCATCTGATCTTTATTGAAACCTTACAGACCAGCAAATAGGCTAGACTGTCTGTCATTCTGTTCAGGCTCATGAAGTTTTTAAGCATAAGTGGCTAAGATAACTACCAAAGGCAGTAGATAATTTTTGACCACCTGCATGCACCAGGTACTGGCCTGGAGTAAAATGGTGGATATACCTGCTTTTAGAGGGTGTAGTGGATCTCTCTCTCTCTCTCTTTTTTTTTTTTTTTTTTAGTTTGATTTACTACTTAATCCCAACACTGGAATTTCTGCTTCTGGAATAAGCACATAAACATCGTGTGAAACTGTGGGAAAGCATTCCTTTCTTTATGAAAGTGCTCCTTGGTGCTAATGTGGGGGGACACTCTATGTGGAGGTCAGAGGTCACTATGGAGAAGCCAGGGGTGGAAATCATGTGCCTTCAATTGCTTCTCCGCTTTATTGTTTTGAGACAGGGTCTCTCACTTAATTGGTTGACTAGACCGGCTGGCCAGAAAGGCCTAGAAAGACCCACTGGGGTTACAACCACACATCATACCTGGCTTTTTGTGGGGTGCAGGGGCTGTGACCTCAGTCACTCATGCTTTCACAGCAACACTTTGCCACCTGCACCTTCTCCCAGGGCCCTGTGTCCTGACTTCCTTTGCGTCCTGGCTTCTTTCCGTTAACGTTTAGCTGCTTTTTCTTGGGTGGGGAGGGTGGGCGCTAGGGACCAAAATCAGGGCCTCATACATCATAAGCCAGTGCTGTACAGTTGAGCTACACCCACAGGACTAAAGCAACTGTTTGGGGTTTCCTTCTTAGAGAAAGGGTCTCATTTTGTAGCCTACACTGGTCTCCAGCTCTCAATACTGCCTCAGCTTCCTGAGTGCTGCAATCACGGGTTTATACAACCAGAGCACAAAGTCAGGAGAGGGGTGATGAGACATGGTCTCAATATGTAACCTTGACTAACCTGAAGCTCACTATGTAGACCAGGCTTGTCTTGAACTGCCTATACCTCCTGAGTGCTGGGACTAAAGATGCAGGTCACCATATCCAGCTAATTTTTGTTTTATGTGTACAGTTGCTTTGCCTGTATGTGTGTGTGTGGGTATGCACTTCGTGTTTGCCTAGTTCCTGCAAAGCCCAGAAGAGGGAATCAAATACCATGGAGCTGGAGTTAACCAATGGTTGTGAGCTATATGGGTGCTGGGAGTAGAACCCTGGTCCTCTG